GCAACGAAAAAATCGCAGGGAGAGATTTATAGCTTTTTTTAATTATTATTTTCGAGTTAAATCACCTAAAACACTTGTAGGCTAAACTTTAATCATTCGTGTTCATTTATTTCTGTTGCATATTTAAGAATTGAATTTCATGTAAAAAAAAATGAATTTTTGGATACTTAAAATTCCAACAGGAATTCGGTGATAGAAATGATAATCGTCGATCTTTTCTATATACATTTATATTTCGCTATTAAAGAAAAATACAAGAATTTAATCTCGCAACACAATAATTTAAAAAATTGGGAACACAACTTTTTCCTCAACAAAATAATAAATAATCTTATATTATTTGAGAAACTAAAATTGAGAGCGAATATTTTCACTAATTTCAAAAATTTTGAGGAATTCATAAACCAATATTTTGTAATTGTCTTTTTTCCTTTTTTTACAAATGACAACTATATTAATAACATAAAAACTCAAAAGAGTACAAAAGAACATCACTGAACCAGAAAAAGTCTAGACCAAAAACTCTATATATGACATTGAACGTCAGACGCAGCTGGACTAGACAAAACAAACACAAACAAAAAATAGAAATGACACACACCCAAACCGAAACTCAAGCCAAATCCCGAAGCACCGAAACCCCAACAGAGCAGCAAATTGGAGCCCCAAACCCAAAACTGCAGCCAAGCTCGAATTGCCAAGATAGATCTTGTGAGGAGGAGTTTCTCAACCTAGGGCAGAAGGTGGGGCAGTCAAAGATGTCGCTTGCCTCGGCCATGACCGGAACTGAGGGTCTTCTGGCTGGAGAGGCAAGTTTAATAGTATATCAAGGTCAATATTTTGTAATTGTTCAGTAGCCCGTCCAATTGTGGAGATGCCCAATTTTTTCGCGCGATCGGATCATGAGTTTTTCTCGCCTCGTGATTACATATGCCCATTTTTTTCTTGATGTTAGATCCTTAATTTCATTGTTGTAATGCTATAGATAGATGTTCAGTGTACGATGTGGTGCGGAATATATTTATTTTCAGAATATTATATTATAAGATGCAATATTAAATAAAAATTTTATAATACGTAGGAAAATTATACAATAAGATAGTATTGGACAAAGAAACAATCATATATTATCCTTGACTTCACTTCGCTTTGCTTCGTTCGTTGGGGCGAAGCTTCTCAAAGACTATTTTGGGTTGGATCATGGATGCTTTTTCTACAACCAAATCGCCATGAATCCTGACTACACCTCATTGTACACAACATTATGAGTTTGATTATTGGACAACTCGTCATTTTCACAAACTAATATCTTCAACATTATGAGTTTGATTATTGGACAACTCGTCATTCTCACAAACTAATATCTTCAACCCCCTTCTATTAGTTACACGCGAAACAACAACATATAATTGGTCATGACTAAAGACAAGTTTCTTTAGAAAAAGACCAAGATGCAAAAATATATGTATATATCCTCCATATATATATATATATAGCTCCTTAATCTGTGTTCAGATAATGTTTAAAATATCTCCAATATTATAAATGTTAATAATATTTGAAAAATATTAGTATTTAGATAGGTGAAAATTAACTTTTTAAAAAAATTCTTACCATAGATCAAGATTTATATTAGCAATTAGACTTTAGAGTGAATTAACTTTTTTAAGAAAAAAAAATATGTTATAATTATTTTTTTAAAATTTGTTAGAATAAATACATAAGAGATGAGATTTTTTAAATTTATCGAGCGATGTATTCTGTAAAATTACATGTGATTTTTTTGGTGGATATGCATTAATGAGATTTTTTATAGTCCGAACTTTACTGGTGTATAGAACCAAAAGCCGATAGATTACCTTGAGAATTATTAGGCGTGTATGCGTTAATGAGATTTTTTGTACAGTCCGATCTTTAATAGTGTATGGAACCAAAAGCCAAATTAATTATTATTATTATTTTTTTGTATGTTGTATTTGGAAATTAACAATTTTATTCCTAATAGGAATCCAAATTTATGGTCATTGAATCAACAGCTGAACAAAATTTGACAGTTTTTTTTTTTACTGATAACAAACAATATTAAAAAGCATAATACAGATGATGATATTTTGTGGAGATTGTAAACGATTTTAACGGATTGTTTAAAACAAAATCCTATCGGATTTATTGTTGCAAATGGATTATTTTTCCAAGCGTGAATCTATATATATATAATTGCTAGCTAAGCAATAAATTTTACCTAATAAATAAAACCTAATAAATTTTACCTATGTGGCAAATCATTAATAAAACCTAATAAATAGAACCTAATAAATTTTATTTATGTGGCATTAATATACCCAATCTCATTAATAAGAAAATATTTCATTACATTTTTTTGGGTTAATTAAGACAAAAACTATTATATTTTATGTTAATTGATTAATAATTATATTTTTTATTGAATAATATAATAGTTAATATTAAAATTAGTAATTATATTTTATACTAAATAATATATGAAAGTTACATAAAATTATATTTTACACTAAAATCAATATTTTTTTATATGATGAAGCTGTTGTTTATTAATAAATTTTTTTTTTATGTCATAGTAAAATTTCTTAAAATCACATAAGCAATTGTTATAATAAATGTAATATTTTTCAGCTAATTAATTGGTCATGATCACTCAAAATTATAAAAGTATATATTTATTACATTTTATGCGATCAATATAGTGATTCGTATACAATCAAATCGTGTGTACTATTTATTTTAACCAATGATCAAATTTTAAAATATAATACTATTATATAATTTATAATTTTAATATTATATACATAAATATAACTTATAATACTATATGTTTGAAATATAATACAATTATATAACCTATAATTTTTATATTATATACATAAATATAACTTATAATATTTAATTTTATTTACATCTGTGCAAATGCACAAGGTCGAATACTAGTTAAGAGAACAATCGAATTTAATGTATTTTGAACATAAAGTTTAAATTTAAACCAAAAGCATATTGAATTTATTGTTGCAAGTGGATTTAATGTTGCAAGCTAGAATTAAGGAAATAATGCAATAAATTGCTACTTATAGAAAGTAATAAATGCTAAAACATTTTGACTAAAGGTTTGACTTTCTATTATTAAAAAATGAGTGTTAATATTGTGAATTTCATTTTACAAAATGAAATGGCACGTATCATTTTATCAAGAAAAAACAAAATCACAAACTCGATTGCATATTCCTGTGAGTTATAATTTCACATTTTCTATTTATTTACTACTGAGATGTATGACGAGTAGATAAAAAAAAGCAGATATAATTTTGAGTTAAAAGTGAGTTAATTTTAAATAAAGTTGATTGCGTGAAATTTTTAGCTTGTATAAATAATATTTAAAATATAATTATTAAATTCTATGTACTGTAAAAGTATGAGACATGTTATTGTAAGTGATATATAGTTAAAATATGAGTGAATGAATAGTGAATTGAAGTTGATGTGATATGTATGTAATATATAATATGATGATTGTTGATTAGATTAAATTTAAATGGCATTTTGAGATAAAGAATATAAAAAACGATCCAGTCAACTAAAATTGGTTCTGATATGTAGTCAATCGTGTTCTTGTTTGACCTAGTAATAATAAGTAAATGAATAAACAAAACTTTTACAAGATGAAACGTATTGTGTTTCTATATTGGCATGTTTGGGTCAAAATGTCATGATTTTTAGAATTTACACTCTCAGTATACATGAAAAATTGGCTTTTCTTTTTGGTGACCTCTAACTTTAGTCAATGCACGCTTTCTATTCAGTCCCCATCACTCAGACTCACAAGTCAGCAACACATCCATTTGTGTGCCGCCTGCCCACCAATCAAATTCTTTACTTTTCAGATAAGATAAATAACTATCCCGCCCGTCCAATTTTATATATTATTTTCAATTAATTAATAACCATAAAAATAAGATGGATAAAGTATATTAATGTGTTATTTATATAATTTTGCTTTTTTCAGAAATCAATAAAATGATACTCATGTCCGTAAAAATGCGAACTTATAAACCTCGATTCATAATCATTAACTACATTGGTTATGGTAAATTTACTAGAAAAAACACAACATGACATAATTTCTTTATGTTTTTACTTGTGACATGAAATATAGCGTTGGTTCTACTAACATCCTGTTGTTGCCAAAGACTTCAATTCAAATCCTATATCAATAAAGGAATTAAGTGTAATTAGTTTTAATACATTATATAAATATTTTATTATTAATTTCATTCAGTTTACATGTCGGACAGAAGGAAAGAGTACGACAATCAGAACCCGAATATTTGTACAAGCCAAACAAAAACACTACCTCCACTCTAACCTTTTCATTAGACAATTGTACCCGCCGCACGCTAAGTTGTACATTTACCTATACCTATCAAAATCACACTGCCAATCCGCCCGTCTTTAAATATATATGTACACTCACACTTTCCTCGCCCACACTGAAGCCATTCCCAATCTCATCGGCGGTCTCAATTCTCAACAACACAAACGGAAAAGAAAAGTGAAATGGAAAACAACAACCCGCAGCAGAGCTCCGCCGGCGGAGCGTACCCAACCCCGGCGGTCGGCGGCGGCGGCGGGTACCCGGCGTACCAGCACCTCCTCCAGCAACAGCAGCAGCAGCTTCAGATGTTCTGGAACTACCAGCGGCAGGAGATCGAGTCGGTGAACGACTTCAAGAACCACCAGCTGCCGCTGGCCCGTATCAAGAAGATTATGAAGGCGGACGAGGACGTGCGGATGATTTCGGCGGAGGCCCCAATCCTGTTCGCCAAGGCCTGCGAGCTCTTCATCCTCGAGCTCACCATCCGCTCTTGGCTCCACGCCGAGGAAAACAAGCGCCGCACCCTCCAGAAGAACGACATCGCTGCCGCCATCACCCGCACCGACATATTCGATTTCCTCGTCGACATCGTACCCAGGGACGAGATCAAGGACGAGGCCGCCGCCCTCGGCGGAATTGTCGGCTCCCCGCCGGCGGCGGCTGCGGCCGCGGGGTTCCCGTACTACTACCCGCCCATGAGTCAGCCTATGATGGGGAGGCCGGCCGTGCCAGGGATGGATCCGGACGTCTACGCGGCGCCGCCGCCGTCGCAGGCCTGGCAGTCGGTGTGGCAGACGCCGCCGGACGATGGGTCTTATGCCAGTGGCGGCGGTGCCGGCTCCGGCGCTGGAGGGCAGGGCAGCCTCGACGGGCAAGGGTAATTCCTATTTGTTTAGTAAAGTTCTAATTTTTCCTGCCTGGGTTTTTGTCTTCCGATTTTAAAATGTTTGAATTCTTAATTATTTACCTAGATCTGGTGATACGTTTTATTTTGTTTTTTTGAATGATTATGTTTATGATTTATGGACATTGGGTAATGTGGTGGTACACTAATGAGATAAATTACACAATGGGTGAGTTGGCAGTTGGATGTCCAAGTCAAGTTTGCTCTTTCATCACCATTTCTTGGTTTTTCTTCTTTCTGTCTAAATTCTATAGATTTAGGTGAAATTATTTCACATTTTCTCTTCTCTGGCCATTGATTTTGTTGTTCTTCACAGTATTGCACTACTATGGTATTCATCTGAATCATTTCTCAGGAGCTTCTATGTCTTTATCGGATAAATACCTTACGCACACGTATGAATCCACTTTCCGTTCTTGCTTTTCAATGTGGCGAGAAATTATTGACACTTGCAATTAGAGTTAAATGCATAAGGAAACGACAACCATTGTTAAAGAAGACATCCTTCAATATTGAGTCAGTCATGGAACTAAGGGAAGTTAGCATCACATGGATATTATATTTTGTGAATCGATTATAATTGCAGATCTGAAACGTGGCCATTGAAGTTAATGAAAAATAATAATCACCATTGAAGTAGATGTCCATCGTTAATGATAAATGTTGTTTGTGCTATAGAAATGATGTGGTTTTATTATGTCTTGGACTTGAGACATCTGAAGTACTCGAAATTATTGTTCTCTACCTTTTATCCTTTGACACTTACTGTAATGCTATGTTTATGGATTCTGTTTTTGGCCGAATGACATCTGGTCAACTTGATGTTTGGAGTGCGAAAAAAAATTAAAACTATATGCCTGATATTTATTTGTTCATTTGAACGTGAGTGTCATCAGAAGATTTCAGTAGAACTTTGCTGGTAACTTAATGTTCTCTTCCCTACGAATGTAGTTCCCAAAACAAAAGAAAGATGTCATATGTCGACTAGAAATTTATTCAATTGATAATGCTGTGGCGCTCAACGTGAAAAGGTCTCCGGCTTCAGTATTTATTACATGGCATCAAAGGCTGAACTTGTTGTGTTTGTGTGTTCCTGTTTCAGTTCTGTGGATTGCACCTAATTAGGGGTGTGCAGGGTTCTAAAAAGTTTTGTCATTTTTCTTTCATTATTCACGTGGTTACTTTTTTTCTGTTAGTATTTTTCTAAAAAAAAAATTTACTTACCTGTGAAGTGGCCGTCACTTGTAAGCAATTAATTATGTTCATGTTTTGGGTTGATTCCGTAGAATCTGAGCCTATGCTCAAGTAAACAGAATTAGCTGTTATTGCTGCTTTTGTTTAAAAATGGTGTCTGTTAAAATCACGATCTAGAGGCCATATTTTTGCTGTAATTTTTTTCTTGGTCTAATATCTTCAAAAAACACATTGATAAACGGAATTTGCTTAGTTTGTTAGATTACCAAGTATGATTTCGGAGAAGATATATTGGCTTGTAAATGATGGGGGAATTTTCATCAGCAAAAATGAAAAGAGTTGACCGGAACAAAATCGGTTGTTTTAATGATAAAAGCTATATGGGAAGTTCGCATCAGAATCTTGATCATATTCATTTCGATTTCCCTAGTTCACACTACTTGCTGTTACATTGCATGTTAATGGAAAGCACATATTTGGCACAATCTATGTTTGCAGTTCATTTCATTTTGTATAAACTAGTGCAGTTTTATACTGTTGAGATAGTTAAATTTGCTGATGATATAGTCATGGCATTCTTCTTTCTGCAGGTGAAAAGGACAAGCTGATGAAAAAACATGGAGTGGCAATGGATAGTCACAAAGCTACAGAGAAATTCGCCTTTTCACTCAATGACTTGGATTGTTGTGCAAGTTCTCCATGGTTTTTGTTTGGGGCACATATTCTGTGTACTTTTGTTGTATAAAACTACATTTGCTGTAGGACAATTACATTTCATCTGTGTCTCAACCAATGTGCAGACAATGTTTTCAGTGCGAAAGATACAATGACATAAACCCGTGCCTTTTCCTTTTCCCTGAAAACGGTTTTTGAAGGCATAGATGCATCTCTAAACCGTTTTCACATCGACAGGTGAAGGGCGATTCATATCTGAGATAGTCCTCAAATGCTCAAGTTCGTTCCTTTTGCTGAGAATGGAATTCGGACCTCATTTTCTCCCGAAAATAATTGAACATGCTAGCAAAAATTTTCAGGCGGATCCCTACAGATGGTTTTTGCACTTACAAGTTTGCCCCATCTTGAACTGGCTCTGTTTGATTCCTTGTTGTTTTTTTTTTTTTTATTTAACACATGTTTCTCTAAGAAAAATTGTTGGTGTTGTTGTAGAGCCGTAGAGGCAGCAGTATCCAAGTACGCCGGCCCACACCCCAAATGGGGTGGGCCCAAGTATCGTGAGATAGTCGTTTAAGGGGTGATTAGATATGAATTCAACTAGTCTCAGATAATAAAGGCAAGAAAGGTGCAAATCTTCATGGTGAATTTGAAATAGTTGATGAAAATTTTAGGTGTCATCAATTTATGGCGAGAAGGGATGGATATATACTATGTAACGTACAAATTATTATATTACGCAAGAAAATGATAATCTATATATATAATTACTAGCTCAAAACATTTAATAAAACCTATTTAATTTTATCTATGTGGCAATTTAACAATTTTTCCTCCAAAAACCGTTACATTTTGATGTATTTAATCTTTCATTTAATCATTAAATAATTAATACTCATCACTTCAAAATTACAAAAATTATTTTAATTTTTTTATTAATGACAGTTGACCATATAATGTGTTGACCGTATAATGTGATTAGATGTTATTATTGTTGTTACATTTAATTTTTTTTTAAATAAAAAATATATTTGAAATTCTTAAATAAATAATAAATAATTTACAAATAAAAGACGTACCAAAATATACATTACATCCAATCAGATAAACGCAATTTTAAAAAAAATATTCTAACTCTTTTAATTGTAAATTTAGTCTGCAAAAAAATGAAAGAAAAATAATTAATCATTATATGCATACAGACTCACAATAATTTATTTATATATGTGCAAATACACAGGTCGAATACTAGTGTGATGTAATTCATCACTAAAACTCTTGATTTGTCTAATATTAACTCCCTTGCTCCTGAACCTGAAGAGAGAGCTACATTGATGAGAGAAAAAAAGGATATGACAAGAAAAGTGTAGGTGTTCATGGTGATTTTGAATTGATGAAGTAATTTTTAGGTGTATATATTTTTGGGTTTGCTTAATTTATACAAATGAAAATACAAGTGAGAGTGTGGATGATATAATGCACAAAATATTATATTATGAATATTAATGTGTTTTTCATTATTAAATGTTAGTTATGTGAAGGGGATTTCATAAATTAATGTATCACTTTTGTTAATAAAATTATAAGGGGGGTAAAAAAATCAGAAATAATTTATGGGGTAGGGTTATAATAAAAACAAGTTTGGTTTGTGAACACATAATCGAATATGACAGTGTTGTTTTTTTTTAATTGTGTATGATACTATTTTCTATTTTATATGGTGCTATCATATACACAAATGTTAAAGTCTTTATAGTATTGCAATTTTTAAAATTAAATACTAATTAGTAATAGCAACAAAGATAATGGAAAATAGTATTACAAATAATTGAAAATAATGTTCTTCCCCAATTCCGAAAGAAAAGCGCCGCTGTACTCTATTTCGCCGCCTTCCACTGGGATTCTGAGATTCGCCGGCAGGCGTCCCCTGGCCGCTTGGCCTCTTTCCGTTGTTGCAACTTCCCTCTCCTTGATGCGCAATTGATTGAAGTTCGCCCAAATCCAAGCCGTCTGCTCCGGTGCTGCAATGAGGGGATGGTGCTGCCCTGTTGGTGCTGCCCTCTTGCTCCGGTGCTGCGGTTCGGTGACGGAGCGGCTCCGGTGCTGTGGTTCTGCGGTGTTGCCCTGTTTCAGTTTCGCGATTATTGACCACCGTGGAGCTGCGGCGGGTTTTGGACGAGGTGCGGCTCAGCGGGAAGGGGTCGGGTGCGGCTCCGGCGGCTTGCGGCTTCTAGTCGGAGTGGCTAGGGCTGATACTTCGGCTCGGCTCCCACTCCTGGTTCTCTGCGCGGGGTCCTTGGTTTGCTTGCCGATCGGTTTCGAGTTGCTAGTGGTGTTAGTCGGCTTGGCCCGGCTCGGTGGTGGCTGGGTACCCTCTCGTATGCGGGGTCTTGGAGTGTTTGTCGTTGGTATTGAGTTGCTAGTGGTGTTAGTCGGCTTGATACTGCGGCGGATGGGTGCTATCTGGAGTTTTTCGGCTTGGGGAGAATTGGCCTTTTGGGATATTCCGATGCTTGGAATTCGGCTCAGCTAGGCGGTTAGGCAGTGGAGGGGTCGGCCTTCTCGGGCTAAGGGATTCCTCTGGGGTCGATTTGGTGCTTGTTGGTTTGTCTTGGATTTGCTTATGTGGAAGGGCTTTGATGTTTTGTATGTTTCGTTGATTAGTTTTAAGTTGGTTGGCTGTGAGTGTTTGTGTTGTATTAGTTTTCTGTGTTTTTGGTTTGGGCCGTTGGCCCCTGTGCGCCCAGTGTCACTTTTATTACCCTGTGGGGGTCCGACACTCGGGTATTACCCTGTGGGGGTCTTTGTATTGTGCTGTTGTTTTTTGTGTCTTTTAGTGTTGTTGAGTATTACCCCGTTGGAGTCGGTTCTAGGCGATCTTTTGACCTGCCCTCTCAGTTTTCTCCGGTGTTAGCTGTTTATATTCGGCTGTTGGCTGTTTATATTCGGCTGGTGGCTGTAATTTTGCACATTTGTGCCCTTTTATAATATATCTATCATTTCGGCCAAAGAAAAAAAAGAAAATAATGTTCTCAATCTTCGCTAAAGTAAAGGCTGGTTTTTAAATTTTTATTTGAACCATGTCGTATATATGATTTCGTTCAAACTAAAAACTATCCATAAAAAATAAAAACATGAAGTCAAATCAGTTATTTAATTAAATAACTAAATATAGTGATTGGTACTTAATAAATAAGATATCCGACTTATGATATATGTAATTTTGAATAATGTGAACATTAAAGCAATGTTAAGTGTATTATTTATAGGCAAAATTGTGCAACCTTTTTTGAGATTGCAATTTAATCACTACATTTTCACTTTTGTATACTATATTACGTTCTTCAATTTCATTCAAAGCGATACATGGTTTTTACCACTAGTACTAGGAAAGCTGATGTGGCACGAAAAATGTCACCACCTGTTAAGTTTTATTTACCAGTCAATTTTTTTTCCACCTCATACTAAGAAGACGTAGTTTTCGTTTCAATATAAGAATAAAAAAAAATTACAATCAACTTGAAATTTAGAATCCCTAAGCTCTTGTTGTTCATCGATTCTCTTTGTGCTCCCCATCAATAATTTCCTTGAATATTTCTGGTTTAACAATTTCCCGCAACCTGATTATTTTCTTCTCACTGTGGTCCCCCAACCACTTCATGCTGCAAAAAAGGCGAACAGATAGGGTCATAAAACTACTTTTTTTTCTTCTGTTGTCGATAAATTAAGTCAATTGTTTTAGAAAATTAGGGTTCTTTTAGTTATTCTACAATTAGGGTCAGGGTTCTTTTAAATAGCCCATAATTAGGATTATATATTGGTTTAATTATGTTTATATGTACTTAATACTTGTTTTGCTTAAACATGGGTTTGTAGTTACATTGTTATATCTGCAATGACTTGATGATTTTATAAACCACTATAGACAATTTGTAAAGGTTGGCTATGATTCTGAGTATTATAGAGAAGAGGTCACTAAAAGATAATGGCTTTACAATTGTCGATTTGGTTATATTGATTTATTGGAAGAAGTTCAAAAATTAGGGTACACTAAAGGAGAGAAACTGTATTATGGCTTATGGCAGTAGAAATGTTTACAAGCACAATGACGAGGGTGTCATGAAAATTCTTTCTAAGATGGATCCTGGAAACTATTTTGTTCAAGTATATGTTGATTCTGTTTCCATAAATGAAAAGGGGGTATGTCATGAGAATGAAAGTAGAGGTGATGATAAGCAAAAAGGGATAGCAGTAGAGGCAGATATGCAACATAAATGTGATGATAATGGCTATGAGGATAGCATAGATGACGAGTATATTCCAGAAGAAGAAAGTTCTGAATCAGATGGACTTGATGGATTGATAATATCATGAGGAAAGCACAGATGAGGAGTATATTCCAAAAGTAGAAAGTTCTGAATTAGATGGACGGAGTGGGGATGAATTGGGAACTGTAGATGAAGAATACTTTGAAACAAAGAAAAAAAGAGTTGCATTCAAAAAATTTGCAGATGAAGAGGCTGAAACATAAGGTGATGACAGCGTACCATCCAAAAAATTGGCGGTGGACTATGCTTCAAGATGGGTAGAGGCGGTGCCGATCAAGACGAATGACGCCAAAGAGGTGTTGAAATTTTTGAAAGTTAATATCCTTACACGGTTTGGGACTCCGAGAGCATTGATTAGCGATCGGTTGCACTTTTGTAATAAGTAAGTTGGAAGTCTCTTTGCCAAATATGGTATGAAATATAAGGTGACGATAACATATCATCCACAAGCCAATGGGCTTTGGATAATCGACAGATCAAATAAGTGCTAAAAAATGTCATTGTAAGTCGTAAGGATTGAGCTAATCATCTTAATGAGGCGTTGTGGGCTTAGAACGACGCACAAGACTCCCTTGGGTATGTCTCCATACCAAGTACTGTTCGGAAAATCATTTATTTTGCCCGTGAAATTGGAGCATAAGGCATATTGGGCTATGAGAAGCATTAATCTTGACTTTGAAAAAGCCTGGGTCGAACGAAAGTTGCACTCAATGAATTGGATGAGTTTCTAACAGAGGCGTATGAGAGTTCTAGTATTTATAAAGAAAAGACGAAGAAATATCATGAGCGGGAGTTTACTAAACGTGATCGAGTTCTATTCTTCAATTCATGACTCAAGTTGTTTCTCGGAAAGTTTAAGTCAAGGTGGTCGGGGCTGTTTGTGATCACAAATGTGATGGCCAATGGAGTCGTCTAATTGGCTGTAAGTGATGGCACCACATTTGTGGTGAATGTCAGCGGAATAAGTCATATTTCAGCCCGAAACAAGTCAAGACGATCTTCATGTCTATTTAAACGAGTAATTGTGAGTCGAAACATCATCTAGCTAAAGATGTTAAATTAATTACTTATTGAGAGGCAAACCCAATTTTTAGTGTATAATTTTTTCGTGTATTTCTTCTTTGTATTGGTTTAATATATTTTTTTTAAAATGTCCACGTCCATACAACTCGTGTGGGTAAGTGACACGAGTCGTGTAACACATAAAAAAAAAAAAATGGATACAACATTTGCACACCAATCGTGTAGGTGAGTGACACGACCTAGTCGTGTGAGTTGTGCCAAAAAATGTCCATTTTTGGTTTACGCACATGACTCGTGTGGTTATGGATTACAACCACATGACTCGTTTGGCTCAAATGATACGCTACTTTAACCATTTCACGATTCATTTCTCTCGCTCTCTTGCATCTCCCTCTCTATATTTTGGATTTATTTTGCTCTTTTTGCCTTAAATTCTTGACAAATTCACGCAAGACACACTAGTCTCTTGTTTAAGGATTTGAGCTATTGAAAGGGGATAAATTTTGTGTTCTAAGCCTAGGGTTTTCATCTTATATAATCATCTTATTAAGTAATAAAAATTTATGTGTATTAACACACCATAAATAATTATTTTACTTGGAAAAAAATATGTAAACTAAGTAGGAACATCAATTTAATATAAAAAAATATTCTAAATGTTTATGTCTCAACTTAAATAAAGAATACATAGAGAATGAATATAGAATAATAAAAATAATTATTATATTTCATAAAGTTTAAACCCATACACATTATATTATTAAATATTATAAAGTTGAAGTTATTTTAAGAAATATTAGATGAGGGAAGAAAACTATATAAAATATAAAATATAATTACAATATAATCAAAATTGAAAAAAAAAACAATTTAAAAATTCAAATTATTGAGTTGTAAATAATATGTATATATATATATATGTGTGTGTGTGTGTATGTATATATGTGTGTAGGGGGTTAAAAAGAATTATCATTTTGACAAATCGAATATAAAAAATGGTTATTATTTTAAATAATTAACTTTATTATCTTTATTAAATATATTTAATTTTTTATCATTCTAAATATCAGTTTCTTTGCTTCTTTATTTTGATAAAATACTTAATTTTAAGCACACGTGTTGTTCACGAGCGTTATATTAACTGTCGAATAAATAATTATTTAATTTGTTTGACAAAAATGAATATATATGAAATTGAACAAATAACACTTCATAAAAATATTTTCTATAATTCAAAATAATATTAAAAAAATATTTTTTAATAATTATTTATATTTTTTACTTCACAATAAGAATTTCAATTAGTTTTTTATACAACACCCGTGTAGTTCACGGGCATTGTACTAGAAATTAAATAATATCAATCAATTATCCTCATACATCACGTAATTATTAATTCATAGTTCATTCACTCAAATATATTCAACTACTCTATCATTTTCAATCACACATCTTCAACTTTTACATCAAATCAACTTAATCAATTTTATTTTAAATATCATTTAAATACATAATCAAATTTAACTCAACTATTTTTTTATTAATTATGATTAAAAAAGGAAAACTACCAATAAAATCTGGATTTATACTATCCGAAAATCTTGTGGGCGTTGAAATATAAATTACCTAAAATATATACACACCACATACGTATACTCGCAAACTCGGCGAACAAATTGAGAAAACCGTCTTCACAGATTACATTCCCAGCTGCGATTCTCTTCCCCCAACCATGGTAGAACATCTCTCGTTCTCCATTACTTCATCACCGATTATTATACCAGCTCTCGGTTTTGTATTTTTAATTGTGTTCTTTTTAGTTTCAATTGGATTTAAATATTTTCCTTTGAATTAACGTCGTAATCTATTTGTTGATCTTGATTTGTATAGCAAGTTTTTTTCCATCTGCGTGAGATGGTAAATGTTTACGATCTGAACTTGAAATGTCAATACTGTTGTTAGCTGCAGATTAGGGCATCATTTTCTGTTTATTGACATTGAATGAGTAGCTTACATGGTGGATTTTTGTGTTTTTCTTAACAGAAAATTGGAAAGGGAATTGAAGGAAAGATTAAAATTTTCGCCATATAGGATGATTTCATTTGTTCAAATTAATTTTCTGAAATTATTTCTTTTTCCTGGAGAAAATTCAAATTTGTGGAATTCTTTGTTTTATCTTGAGAACGAAGATTTGTTGTTCTTGTAATCATCAATCAAGCCTTCGGCTAATGTAAACCAGCTGAAAGTTTGCATGTTGGGCCTTAATATTATTGTGAATTTGAGAAAGTAAATGATTTAATGTGATTCCAATATCAACCAGATCTCAAATTTGATTATTGGAAAAAAATAACTCGAGATGGTTACTATAAGAATAAAAGTTTTTATGTAATTTAGACATTTCAATTAATTCAAGAGATTTCTGATCTCTTTATCCGAAAGAGTGTAGATGAAATCATTTATCCTAGATTTCCTATTTGATCTTGTTCTTATCTTGTAATACTACAATACCTTGACAAGACAAGCAATTGATAGCATATGTTTCAACTTTCTAGGATGATTATTTTGATAACTCAATTTGGCTGGTTAACTTATTTCTTGATTTCCTGATGGCCTTTTGCTTCTGTGTATATTCTCTAGACGACCTCAAGGCGCTTGGCGGATAGGAAAGTTATGAAATTTGAGAAGAACATAAAGAAAAGAGGTGCAATTGGAGAAACAACTAAAAAGAAAGGCAGCTCGTATCCCGTTGGCCCTTTGGTGATAGGATTTTTCGTATTTGTCGTCATTGGATCTTGTGAGTTATTCCCACCGCAAAAACTGAATCTTCGTTCTCTGTAGCAATAGCAGTCACATTGCATAATCGAGTTTTTTTACTGCCTTTTGCAATACATCATTGTGGTATTCCATGAGTAATTAAGTTTGTTTAAGGAAAAAATAAATTAAATCCTTCTTATGGAACCCTTCTATCTCTTTGTCTGCCAATTTAATTGTTAGCATAAATTATGTAAAATCATGAATACATGCTTGTTAATGGCGTGCCTGGTTTTGGTTTGAGGGAAAACATATGGTGCTCTGATATTGCTTTAGGTTATACAGTTGAGAACGCTCAGTTTTTGTTTTAGCCAATTTTAAAGACCATATGCAAATTGGGCTTAAAATTTTCAGGCAGTAGATTTATCGTGTGCAAAAAGAAAAAATGAAAAAAAAAAATGTTATTTTTCATTATTTCAATTAACCCCCTTTGAGGCATTATTTTTATGACTTTGGATTTTGTGTTCATTTTACAAGTACTCCCATTTGTCGCTGTAATGTTGTAAAGTAAAAACATGTTAAATTTATAATTAACCCAACGATCTTTGTATCCTCTATTTCCCACTCACTAAGAAGTTGTGGAAAAAATAAACCACCAATTTCGTGCTTCTTTTCTATTGTTTAAAATATATAATTTTAATGACTTGGTTATTGCTTTTTCTTCGTGTATACCCAGTTCTGTTCCAGATCATCCGAACTGCAACGAGTGGAGGCATGACTTGATTAAGGCGCAATAAAGTCGAACAATCAGGTTGATAATATACATATGTAAGTGATTATAGAATAGGTTTGTTCAACTGTTTGAAGTGCTTGAAGTGCACTGGAAAGAAATGTTTGTAAACATGTAACTAGCAGATGACTAGTTTGTGAAGTTATCTGAGCCTGAAATAATGCAGCCAATTCTATCTTAGATCGCATATGCTTGCATCATCTTAACCATCCGAAGGGGGAGATTATGAGAAAGGGAGAAATTTATTTTTTATGCATTGTTTCAAGTTGATGGATTCATGGATTTAAGTTTGTTACGAATAACTCAACAAGTAAGAGGTCTAAAGAATCCACAAACCGAACCCATGCCTGACCTTAATCCAACAATTCCAACTTAAGAAATACTTGTTTTTTTTTTTTACTTACTAAGAAATACTTATCTTCCTATAACTTATCAACCTTCTTCATACATGTTTCTAAATGTTCAACTTCCTATAACTACGA